TGCCCATGGTGAGCACCGAGCCCCGCGGGCACCCCGGCCCGTCCCCGCGCGCCTGGGCTCCTGCATCGCAATCCGCCAGGATCCCCCTATCCCTCCTCCCGAACCCCAGGGAATCCCGCCAGGATCCACATGGGTTTCTCCTTCCTGATGCTCCTGGGCTCTCCAGGATGCCCTTCTGGATCCGCCTGCAGTTGCACTTAGAGCTCCCCAGGATCCCTCCCCAAACCCCTGGGATCTTCTCCACGATGCCCTAGGATCCCCCAGGATGTCCTCTGGGATCCCTGGAGCTCAGGGCAGGGATCGGGGCGAGGGGGTGCCCCCCATGGACCAGTTCATAAATCACTGCCGGGGGGGATGTGATTCGCCCTCTCGGTGCCTAAAGCTGCTCTCGGAGACCTGCTCCATCTGCACTCCTGTAGCTCAACCAGTTTCTCCTTCCTGGGGAGGGACATTTTTGTGTCAGGAAGGGGGCGAAGCAGCCGGTGCTTCCTACCCTGCTTTGCTCCCCAAGGAAGTCCCCGCTCAGCCCTGGGTTCGAGCTGGGGCTGATCCCACTGAGCCCTGGCACTGTGAGAAAAGGGCAGGCAAAACCTGAGCGGCGCTTCCCACGCATCGGGAACTCCTTAGAGCCTCTCACGAGCTCCACATTTTGTTTTGGGTTTGGTTTTTTTTTGGAAACCCTCTGATGGTGTGCGAGTTATGTAGCCACAAGGTTAAATCCTGCGACGTGGCTGGTGGCACCATGTGGGCAGAGTTAAGGGTAAAGCTCGTTGGGTCTCTGCACTCAACCCTCTCCTGTGCCCGGTGGGAGAATCCCCTCTCCTGGGGGAATCAGGGCTCGGGGCTGGCATTGCCCCCGTGCTGCTGTGGGGCTGAGCCCGCGTCTCCCGCAGGCGCTGCAGCTGGGCACCGCGCTGGTGGGGTCGCCCACGCAGGACGGCGTCGTGTCCATCCTCACCACGGCCGAGGGGGCGGACGAGCCCAGGATGGTGCGGTTCCCGGTGCCCACCCCCGGCAGCCCCCTGAGCCCGGGGCAGCCTCGCTGGGCCAATTACGTCAAGGGGGTGATCCAGCACTACCGGGGTAAGGGCTCGGCCGCGCCGGGGGCTGCACGGTGCTCGTGGTGCAGGGCCCTTTGCGGGCTGGTGCTGCCACTGCCGCAGGAGAAATGAGCGGGGGGAGAAAGGGAATTTGCAGCCTCACAGCCCCCCTCCTGCTCTCCCTTCCTGCAGCCGGGCCCTTGCCAGGCTTCAACGCGGTGATAGCCAGCGATGTCCCCCTCGGCGGCGGCCTCTCCAGCTCGGCCTCGCTGGAAGTTGCCACTTACACCTTCCTCCAGCAGCTCTGCCCAGGTAACGCAGCAGCCGCCTCTGCACAGCCCCGTTCCTAGTCGGAGCGCTGGGCACCTTGTGTGAGCTCCTTGGGTGGCATTCTGTGATCCAACAGCTCCTCAGTCTCTCTTCTGTCCGCCACAGACGATGGTGACTTGAAAGCCAAGGCTCTGACGTGCCAGAAAGCCGAGCACACGTTCGCTGGGATGCCCTGCGGGATCATGGACCAGTTCATATCCGTGATGGGCAAGGAAGGGCACGCGCTGCTCATCGACTGCAGGTCAGGACCAGGTCCCTGGCGCATTGCCCATGGGGATTTGCCTGGGAGCAGCCTCACTAATGCTGGGGACCTGCTGCGTCTCATAGGCTGTGAAGTAAACGTAGCCACGGGGAGGCTTTAACTCTGTGTCCAGGTCCAAATCTCTTTGCAGAGGTGGGTCCAGACACCCTGATTCCTCCTTGTGCATCCTCTAAGTCACAGTCTGCACACAGCTGAGCTGTGCTTCCTGCAAAGTCTTTAGACACGTTAGAGTCTCACCCCTTGTGGCATTCATAATGGGACAAGAGCTGTGCTCCAGCAAAACCCTAAACCCCATGGACTTTGCCCTTGCAGAGGCACCTCGTGGCAGCCCAGCTTGCAGCAGGAGGCCGCCCCACAGCAAGCAAGCAGGACAAACGCACCACCCCGCACCCACGGCCCGCTCCGTGCTCTCCTTCCAGGTCCCTGGAGACCGTCCTGGTGCCGCTGAGCGACGCCAGCTTGGCCGTCCTCATCACCAACTCCAACGTGCGGCACACGCTGACGGGCAGCGAGTACCCCAGCCGGCGGCGGCAGTGCGAGGAGGCCGCCGCGGCACTGGGCAAGGCCAGCCTGCGGGACGCCACCGTGGCCGAGCTGGAAGGTGGGTCCGGAGCAGGGTGAGCACGCAGAGCAGCGGCCAGCGCCGCGCTGGCCAGGCACGTCCTTGGGGAGATCGAGCGCACGGCCCGGGCGGCGCAGGCGCTCCAGGCCAGGGACTACCGGACGTTTGGGAAACTGATGGTGGAGAGCCACAACTCCCTCAGGTGAGGAGGTGTTGGCCCTTAGGGGACGTGCTGTGACACCCGGGAGCCCAAAGGGGGCAGCAGGAGCAATATCCCATGCGACAGCCGGGCTGGAGGTCTCAACTCCACAGGGATGACTACGAAGTCAGCTGCCCAGAGCTGGACGAGCTGGTAGCAGCAGCCTTGGAGGTGGACGGTGTTTACGGCAGCAGGATGACCGGTGGAGGCTTCGGCGGCTGCACCGTGACCCTGCTGGAGGCCGGGGCTGCAGAGAGAGCCCAGCAGCACATCAAGGTAGGCAAGAGCCGCCAGCCTCCCTGCTCCCGTGGAGCTCCAGTTCCCCATAGCAAGAGCAGAGGGAAGCAGAGTCGCACCGGGACAAGGGTCCCATCAAGCAAGGGGCAGGGATAGCGTCGCTGCCCTAGGAGCGGAGACTAAAAGGACTGGGCTGCTCCCGTTTGAAGAGAAGGCTGGAGAGGGGAAGGAGGAAACGTGATCAAGACTTACGAAATCATGAAGGTGGTAGAGGAGGTGACTGTTCCTCAGATACTCCCAACCAGTCTATCCCACCCCTGATCTGAAGAGACGGATGTGGGAGGTGCGTGAAGGGACGCAGGGGCCAGGATCACACACGTTCCCCGAGCGCAGTGCCTGGGGCCCACGTTGGAGCTGCTGCACCCCTGGGCTGTCCGGCAGGACGTCTCTTCCAGACCTGTTTGGCTGGTCCTACGTGCCTGCAGCCGGCCTCAACACAGCCTTGCGGCCTGGCCCCTTGCTGCAGCGTCACAGACCGGATCACCAACACTTACAATTCCTTTTGTCTCCTAGGCAAAATACAGCGGCACAGCAACCTTCTACATCACCAAGCCTTCCGACGGGGCGAAGGTGCTGCCCCTCTAGAGAGGCACCCACCTCTCCTGGGCTGGGATCATCTCCGAGGAAGTCAAAGCAGCCGCATTCCTCTGCAGAGAATCAATTTGCATTCACAGCACCTGCCTAATAAAAACTAAACGCTTGCACAGCGGTTCTGCCTCCTGCCCGAGCTGCCTCGGCCCAGGGCTGCGACACCAAGGTAACTTGGGAGCTTTCCTCCAAGGAGGTGACTCCAGCTCATGCTGGTGCAGCTGGGCACCTGCAGGGACAGGGACAGGCAGTGCCCCTGCAGAGCTGCCATCGCACAAGGGGACGGTGGCAGAGGAGTGGCAAGCCCTGAATACTGGGCACAAGGCCCTACTTTTGGGTCTCCTTGGTGCACGTGTCCCTCATCTGCTGGTGCTCCTGGAGATAGGAGGGGGCTGGTGCTTTTGGTAAAGAAAAAGAAGCAGGCAGGTGTAGTGAAAACCATTTATTGAGTGCAATAGGAAGGCATCTGATCAAAGAGCTGCTGCTGGAGCATTGTGCCAACCCTCCCTCGCCAAGGCTGGAGCCCCAGCAGCCCCCTGAGCAGATTTAAAAGTGATGCTGCTTAGCGTGATGCATCGGTTAGGTGCAGAGCTCCCTCACTTGGTTAGAGACCCGGTGACACTGCGGCCGGGAGCAGCTGGTGAGCTGTGCTCTCTTCGCTTGCATAAAATAGTCTTTGGTTAATGCTTGGAAATGGGGCTCTTTTTTGAGGTTGGTACCACAAAGCGCAAGGAAAGGGGCACAAGCCCAAAGTGCAGGAAGAGTTGCAGCAGTTGGAAACAACCCAGGAAAAATGGGGAGGAGACAGGAGCCAAAAGGCAGTTGGAGTAATGCCAGTGGTGCTGGCTGGGGGAGCTAAGTGCTTCTCCAAAGCAAACTAAAACCATGGATTTGCTGAAATGTCACAGTTCACCTAGCCCCAGCTGCAAGTGCAGGGACTGCTGTGGACTTTACTCGCCCATGTGCAGATCAGGCTCAAGCACAAAAAAAACCTCCCTGTTAAAGTGAACAGCTGTGAGCTTGAAGTTGTCCGTGCTGGAAGTGCTTCTTTTGGTTCCAAAAGAAAGAAAACCAAGGTCGGATTAAAGCAAAGAGGTGATGCAGCAGGGAGAGCAGCCGGCTGCTGCTCTGGCTGGAAGTGCAGCCCGCAGAGGCGGAAGCTGCTGCTTCGGGCAGGAGGCTGAAGCCATCCAAGAAACTCGCTTTTCATTAAGACACGAGGTCTGGCTGCTCTCTGCTGGCAGAGGTGCTGCAAGGCCTTAGACTGTGCAGTGTGTGGGACTGAGCTAAGAGCTAAAGCCAAGGGCTGGTTTTGGACATAGCTGTTGGGCAAAAGGACTCTTACAAGTTATGCAAAATTTTCTGCTCAAAATCTCATGTTCTCCAAGTTAGTCCCATGAAAAATCCCCCAAACTGCTCTCGCTTCCAGTACTTCTCCAAGCTGTTCTCATCCCTTCCTTCCAAGCGGTTCTGAGCCCGTGTTTGAGCGCACGCTCTGAGTGGAGAGGGCCGAGACGGTGGGTGCTGTGCACAGAGCAGATCTTTCCACTTGCAGCAGTCTGCTGTAGCCTCCAGTGCAGGGGGAATAGTGGTGGCAAAGAGCCCTCCAAGTCATCAACAGGCTTTCCATGGGCTCTACAAACCTTTGGATGAATCCATTTAGCTGATTTCTTAAAGTCATTAATGTTTTGCTGCAGCCACAGTCCCAGTGTGTTCTCAACATTCAGTGTAAGTCTCACCTGCCTCAATTTTTTTTAATAAAATAATACAATACACTTATATATATATATATATAGTAGGAAAACTGTACAATATCATATGCAAAAATCACATTAAAGGCCATTGTGAGTAATGCTATACAAGTCAAAGGTTCTACATTGCTACTGTGGTACCAAATATTAACAGCAAAGGGCAGATTCAGCAAAAATGCAGTAAGAAAGCACAGACTACCCCAAACCTCTATCTTGCAGCTCTCGTATAAAAAAAGAAAACAAAAAGGCAACTCTGGTGACCAGCCTTCCCCTGCCAGTGTGGCCAGGACACAACAGGGGGACAGGACCCCCAGTCTGCCATGTGTCCCCACGGGGAGGTGGAAGCAAACACCAACTAAAACTCCTTGTGGCCCTGCAGGAGACCACAGGGGTGGGAAGATGTGCCAGGGAGCCCAGAGAAGAGATGGAAACTGTGACCCTCTATAAATCAGGATGTATTTGGATGCAGTCAGTTTGAATCCTCTCAAAACCGAGGACCCATGAATTGTTCTGTTCTGTTTTTAGGGGGAAGCTGCAGCAACTGAGACACCTGAAGCTTCTGCAGTAGCAGGTATACTTGAGTGGGTGGGCATTGAGGGAGGGTTTTGGAGCGAGCAGGGAAGATCTCCCTGCTCATGGAAGATCTCCCTTCGTACGTTCTGCAGAAAAGATCCCAGGCTGCCCAGACAGGGGAGGAAGAGCCCTGCATGGTGAGTACACACCTGATGACCCAGCTGTGCAGAGCTTCGAGCACACTGGGCTTTAAGGGAGAAGTCTAGAGCTTGAAGCGCCATGGAAGGTCTTTGCCCATAGGAGAAGCAGAGTCTGGATGAACAGCCCTGGGTTCGTCCCACGAAGTCCTGCTGGCCTGAATGGCACCATCCTGCTGACAGGCAGCCTCCCCTCTTTCAAGCCTCGTAGAACTGCCTCTCCATCTGCTTGGTGAGGGTCCCGCTGGACATCACAGTCCGGCTCACAAACTCTTTGGTGACCTGCTTGGTGAGGGTGCTGCTGGCACTCTCCACCCGCTGGCTCATCATCAGCATGCCGTCTGCAACGAGAGGGGCTCAGCGGTCAGCACGTCATGCCAAGTACTGGGTGGACATGGCCAGACACAGGAGCAGAAAACAGGGAGGAAGCTTGGGCACTCAGCATCAGCTCTGCTGCATGATTAACGGTGGAGGTGTCTCCTTAAACATCATTTTCATTGATGGAGAACCTCCCTAGTCAGGTGTTTCAGTACTTTGCTAGGGATGGATTTCTTAACATCTCCCAAACTCTGCAGGCTGCAGCACAAGCCCATGACTGCTTGCACTCAAGGGCAACAACATGGGACACTGTGATCCCTCTGTTATCAGACTGGTCTCTCTTCTCCATGGAGCTCTAACCTTGCAGGAAGAGCTTTGGTTTGGCCACTAGTAATATCACCCAGGGGACTCTGAAAACTTAGGGTTCCCTCTGCGTCATTGCTTCCAACCAGGTAGCACCAGGAAAGCAACTGCAACAGCCTTCCAGCGCAGAACAGCGAAAAGGGCTTGGAAATAGTCTGTTCCTCTTCATCTATGCTCATTTGAAGGATCTTTCCTCCCAGACCTCCATATATGAGGTATAAGCACCCTCCAGCCTTTGGACAAGCATTTGTAGCCTTTGGTCTCCAAAGGTTTCAAAGCAGGCAAAAAGCCCTTACCTGTGAAGTGGGGATCCAGTGAGGAATGGCTGATGCTGGTTTTGGTGGTGTATTCGGTGGGGAAGTTGTACACTTCCTCTCTCATGTACTGCTGTCCTCCAAACTGGGAGAAAGTGCCTGTGGAAAAGAGAGTAAGTCAGCCAGGAAATGACAAGGAGCTTCCAGCATCTCAAATCTGGACAACAAACACTAAGTCAGCTTGAGAAACCTGTCTGGCTGACATCAAAGGCAGGTTTAGGAGAAACTAGGAGCACTGAGGACCTGTGCAATGCAAGAAGTAACATCCAGATACATGTACAACTACATAAATTATACTTAATAAATTACATTCATAGGTTTTTACAATCCTCCCTCATTCACTGCGTCTTTCAGGACAGTGCTCAGAAGGTACAACATTGTCCTCATTGTGCAGATGGAAAATGGAGTCACCACCAAAGCTTGAAAGGGACTCCAGGAGCCATGACCCAACATTTGCTTGTTCCGAGAAGTTTATTTGCTTTGCAGTTCCTCAAAGAAGCAATACTGTACCTCCATCCTGAGATTCAATAGTGATGATGCCCTCTCTCTCTGGCCCAAAGCCTTGGGTGGTCTTGGCTTGCACTTTGAACTTGTATGGGATGTTCTCACTCAGTTGAGGCACAGTCAGGGTGGTTTCTGGGTTGTCTCCTTCAACATAGATGTTCCTGGGCTCCCCTAATACACACAGACACACCAGGGTTGAAGAGAGATGGGAGTGACAGTCCCTTCAAACACACTGCCCCCAACTCTGGCTGAGGATTTGACTTCCCCTAAGCTTTGTGCCCCCCGCAGCCTGTACAATCACACCCTGTTTTATTGTTAAAACAACCCCTCTACAGCATAAAGCTGATCCTCAGCAACCAACCTCTGCTGGGCTTAGACTGTATTAGACCAAGGGTCCTTCCTCTTCCCACCACATCTGTTATACCAAACCATGCAAAAATGCTAAGCACTGAAATCCAGCATCTCCTGAATCTAGAATCAGCCTCACGTCCCCACTGTCAGCTGGTAACCTACCTCCTCCGTGCAGCATCTCGCAGGTGATCATGTAGCCCAGGATGGCCCCATTGGGCTTGCGGGGTCTCTCCCAGCTGAGCTGCAGTGAATCAGGGCTGAGGGCAGTGAAAACCAGAGGTCCAGGAGCACTGGGTGTGCTCAGTGTGAATGGTGAACCTGCATGGGCACAAACGAGAGGCTGGTGACCCAGGGGGCCCGAGTGAGAAGCCTGGTGGGATCTGCAGCCAGCATTCATGCAATGAGCTGGGAGGTGTCAGCTGCTTGCACAGCTACTACAAGGCTAGTGCGCTAGGGGGAAAAAGTCCAATTTCCAAGTGAAAGGAAGGAAGGAGAGCTCAGGATGTGGTTAAGGAGAGAACACAGTAAAACCCAGGATTGTACCCAGCAGCAGAGATCATCATCACCCTCCTCTTGCCTCATCCCCTGTCTTCCTCACCTGGTACGGGGCTGAGCGGGCTCTGCGGGTCCACCTGGGACTCGATGGTGATGACGCCTTCTCTCTCAGGGCCCCAGCCTTCCTCGCTCTGGGCCTTCACCTTGAAGATGTAGGAGTGGTTGGGCAGCAGATCCTCCACCACCACCGAGTTCTGGCTGGGGTTGGGGATGGTGAGCCGGTGCACTTCTCCTGGGATACGCAGGGAACAAGGAGGTCAGCACTGTGTCTCAGACACAAAGGCAAAGCTGCTTTTGCCTAAACCCCAAATTGTCTGGAAAAACTGATCTGGGGCCCCTTCTCCAGATACTTCCATCAGACTTGCCACCTGCAGCTAGTGGCGCCTACAGGCCCAGATGCTGCTGCCAAAAATAAATAAATAAATAAAAAGGCTTGGGATAAACAACAACTCAAAACCAGAGGTTTTCAGCCAAGAAAACTTTTCACTTACATTTCCCCAAGTTTTATGTAAAAATGAAAGATTTTTAATTCCAATCTTTCCTCCAGCTCCATTACAATAGCAGGAAACTTCAAATAAGATCTTGAGGGGATGTGGATAGGGGGCCAAAAGATTTTTAAAAAGGAGAGGCGACCCCAAAAGCAACTCCATGAATTATTCCCCTGGCAGAAAGGGAGGATGAGAGGTACTGGGCAGGTGAGTCATTTCTTCAAGCCTATGGAAGAGGAGGAGTTGGGACCCATTCCAAAAGATGTGGGACAGACCCTCTACCGTCAAAGACCCCCACCCCAACAGCAGGGACCCATTGCGTGTTCACTGACCTCCGTTGAGGAGCTGGTACTGCACGCTGTACCCCTGCACCTCCTTCTCGCAGTGGGGCTCCTGCCAGCTCACCTTCAGGGAGGTGGGTCCCAGCGCGGAGAACACCAGGCGTGTGGGAGTGTCGGGGACACCCAGCGGCATCCTGGAATCTGAGGCAGGAAGGGATCGTCATGGATCTGAGGGTGAGGGGCTAAGGAGGCTGGGGGAGAGGATGGAGCAGCACGCACAAGCGTAGGATGGTCCTGATGGTCTGGGGAGAATATGGCAAGATGTCCTCTCTGCAAGCTCTGCACACCTGCAATAAGGGACAGGGTCCCATGGCTTTGGGGCTACTGCTCTCAGATGTGACAAACTTTGCAGCCCCTTTCTCTGTGGTAGCAGAATCAGAGCAGGGTGCTCTGCACGGCCTCCTCGCTCATCCTGAGCACCCTGTGCAGTCTACTAAGTGCTTCATGGACATCTTCGGACTAGGTGGGGGTTTTGACCTGAGCTCCTGGTGCAGAGAAAGAGGGAGGTAGGGTCATTCTGCCAGGGACTGGCCTTGTACCCAGCATGGGCTGGAAGGAAGTGGACAACAGGGCATGGCCTCCAAATGTTCGTCCACAAGCCACTTTCCACCTACTCTCCTCTTTCATTAGCTGCCTGGTCACTCTCATTCATTAGGGGACCTGGCTGTCTGCACCCATCTCATATGTATCCGCTCTGGAAAATGCATTTCCTGCAGGGAGGTTTACAACCAACACTCCCGGGCTTCCAAAGGAAGGTGGGAACTTAACTGCAGTTTGCAAACTGGCCCCCTCTTTCTCATCCATCTCCAGAGCACTTTGCAGCAATGGATTCTGGTGTCCAGTTCTCCTCTTTACCCTGCTGGAAGGAGTCTCAGGAGTACAGCTGGAGAAGCCCAGCAGCTCCAAGGATTTTTCAAAGGGATGGGCGCAGTCAGGACCAAAACCAGGTGGTCCTTGGTCCCCCACCAGCTCAGCCCACTGTGATGCTTGCATATCAAGACTATAAGTGAAGCTTATAGCAAGGTGAAGCTCAGACTCAGGGAGGTTGGAGGCTGCTTTCTGGACAATGCACAGATAAAATTCCAGGCAGTATCTCAAGCTCCTAATTGTCAGGGGCTTTAGTCAACGAGTTTGCAGAGGGACATCTTGTGTAGAGCACACGTTCTCCATAGCAGTCCTCCAAAGGCCTGTAGGAGTAAGACTAAGAACAACGAGCTTGTTAGGAATGAAGAGGCCAGGGGACAAGGAGCTGATGAGCTCATTAGAGCACAATGGCAGCAGTGATGAGGGTTAATCAGCTCACATGGATTTAAACATGGTTGAAGACACCTGTAAATGGAATAGTGGTGTGATGGAGGCACAGCCTGGATCAGGAGGGAGATCAGTGGAGCACGCAGCAAGCAGTGGAGAGAGAGTTTGGGAAGAGCAATGGATGGCAACAGCGCACGGGTGGTCGGTGCCTTGGCTGGTTATGGGGTGCGCGGCCAAGATGAGACACTTGATAAAGCTGTACCTATGTACTTGCAAATCCCTGCGGACCCATCGGTCATGATTATAGAGTCCCGAAAGCCAGTGCTGGGGTAGTAACCCTTCACCTTTGCCCTGCTCCTGAAACCCAAATTCCGGGACAGTGGGGTTGTCCTCCTAGCATCTTCATGGATGGGAGGGAGGAATCTCCCTGGGTAATCTACAGGCCAGCATCAAAGAGAGAGAAAAAAAGAGAGAAAGAGAAAAACATCATTGGAGACATCAGAGCAGGTTCAGCCAGTATTGGGTCCTACACAGAGATGGATTCCTTAAGGAGGAGGAGGAGGCTCTGCTCATGTTGGAAGAGCCTTTTTGCAACTTTCTCTCAATGCCAGCCTGATGAATATACGTAGAGCTGAAAAGTAACCATGCTGCTAGGTAGAGAGGCAAGGAGGTGCAGTCTTCCCAGTGGCACTTTGCAGTGCAGGGATTAGGTCTCTCTTCCCCGTGTGCTCTATGCACACACTGTATGGAGCCTTTCCAAAATACATAGATAGTCAGAGTGGCCTTATTGAAATGCTTGCAAGTCAAGGGTATGAACATGACCTTCCGGATCTCTCATTCATAGTCCATGTTGCAAAGTGATCTGCAGGGCAGGGATCTGAAGACATGAAAACGGAAGAGGGAAGCAGCCCCATCATTTAAGTACTCACCGTGTCCCATCAGCATTGTAGAATAGTCTCTAGTCAGCGAGGAGCTCCCTATCACCCTGTGTTCCTGCTGCATGTGCGAGCTCATCTGGTGGTAGTGGGTGTTTGTTGTCCTGGTCAGAGAGCCCCCACTGCCAGGGAAGGAGAAATCCATCCGGCCGTTCAGCAAGTGCTCTGTGGAAGAGAGCACAAAGTGAGGATCATGACTGCGGACTGGGCTCCTGCTCCAGCCAGTTTCCATAGGGAGGAAGCAGAAAGCCTTGAGGGGCACTCTGCCTTGGCTTCCTCCCAGCTCCAGCTGCTCTGGAATATCATTTGGGAATGTTACATCTAAAACAAGTGACAATAACCCAGTGGTGAGGGGGAAACAAACAGATAAACAGAGACATCACCCTACACCCAGCACAAGAGACACCCACAGTGCCCAAGGTAACTCCAGACCTCGGCCTCACTGGGGCACTGCCTTGGGGTTCTCATCATGTTCTCTCATATATCTCCTTTGATGTCAGCACAAAGTTATAATTTCAGGTTAAAAAAGAAGATGGAAGAAGAAAAATAACTTTATGGAGGCAGCTTCTCCAGATCTCATTCTGAATCCCGTCTCAGCTGGATCTGAAAAGCAAACTCTGCTCCGCTGTTCTTGTTCTTGACAGATTCCCGTCCCCTCCCAGCAGGTCACAATACATCAACTACCCATGTGAGAGTGATTTCTGTTTAACAGTCCAGCAGATCTGCCCTGGAGGCTCAGGGAACTTAATTAAGGTGAGGAGCTGCGCCTTGGAGGTGGTACTTAGCAGGTATCATTGGATTTTGTTCCTGCCTCGAAGGTCCAGCTTCGTGCCGAAGCAACTTGCTAGCAGGCTCCCAAGTCCATGCCGAGACGGGGGTTACCTTGACACTCTCATGAGCAGACAGACCACGGGAAGGCTTGGAAGCAGATTCTACAGCACATGAACAGTGCGTCACGCCAACATGAGGATGGGCACACAAGGGGAGGAAGGGGACACGTTATGGGGCAGAACTCAGTTGCAGCCCCCTTGGCTCAGAGCAGGACGAGACAGGACACTCAGTGGAGGAGGAAGATGTCCTTCACCTGCTTGGGGCCCAGGGGTCCCGCTCCTCATCAGGCTGCTGGTAGCCACGTCACTGTCCTCCTCGCGGAGGAGACCCTCGGTGTCTGAGGAGAGGTGGCTGCTGCCAGAGAGGCGGGGAATGGTTTCAGGTGGGAGCCTCCAGGTGATGCGACGAAGATCCAGGTCTTCTCCCAACAACTGCACATATTTCCACCGGGAGCCTTTTGGAATAATGTAAGCAGTGCTGTTGACACAATCTGCAGGGGACATGGTGGGCAACCCCTTCACCTTCATGCTGCTTGCTGGGGAGGGGAAGGGGCCAGTAGAAATGACATGTGTTTATGGCCTGTCTTGCCAAGCATTGGCTGATGAGTTAAGGCAGTCACTGGCAAAGACCACATCACTGGAAAATGGAGGATAGGGGGAACATGACACGCATGGGGTTCTCTAGCCCCATGGGTGCTGTTCCAACCCATGTCCATCACAACCAAAGGCAAGTGTTGAAGTCCCACCATGCGCCTGTCACTGTCATGAAGAGTCTGCTACAATTGTCCTCCTCTTCTCAGGAGAGGTTTTCTCACTTCACAATGTGCACGCAGAACAGTTGTCTCAGATTCTCGGCGTTCCCATTGTCTCTGCTCTCTCCAAGGACCAGGGACTCACTCCTGGATCCTAGTCCCTGGAGAATATTCCCAATCACCAACCCTCACCCAATTTAGACAATCTGTATCGACACTGAAAGCCCATCATTCCAGTTATATCCTATCTTCCCCTTCTCATACTCATTTCAAGTCCTTGTTGTCCCAATACAGCAGACTAGGGAACCAGGCCTTTTCCAAGAGAGAAGGGGTGGAGGAAAAGATCAGGAGCTACAGGTATCCACCTGTATCCGATTCATTGGCCGAAGCCTTCTCATCACTTGGTGAGTCTGAACGGGGTCTGGACTATAGGTGACTGCTTGAGCAGGTGGGTCACCTTTAAAGGTCCCTTCCAATCTCAAATGTTCTGTGAGTCTGCAAGTTCCCTCCTGTTGGCCTGGCAGAGTCCCTAAACATCCCAAGGGACTCAGAGGTTTTACCAGATCTTACTTGCTGGCTGCATTTTCATGATGTGTTCAAACAACAAGAACAGGGGCAAGGTGAACAGCAAAGGCTATGAAAAGCTTCTCTCACCCATGCTGAGATCTCTTTATCTTGCAGCTAAGACAAGGAGACACTGGTCTTATTTGCATTGCAACTAGTCAAGTGTCCCCATGGATGGAACTACTGTGGTTTGGAAAAATTGGTCTCCAACAGCTCCATGCCTTGAGTCTCCCCATCTCCAGTGGAAGGAAAGGAGCAATAAAGCTCTGAAGGCTGTTAAGGAGAATGCATGTTAAAAAGGACTTTTTACAAGACCTGGAGCAACATACCTGAGTCATCGGAGACACTGGGATGCTTGCTGCCAGCTGCAGACCGAAGCACATCTGTACTGTACATCAGGTAGCTGTCGTAGTCCTCACCTCCCTCAGCATCAATGATGGGGACATCAGGGATGATGGGGACTGCAGGGGAAGAAGAATGTGTCGTTAGGCATGCAGCTTGAACCACGTAGGGCTCTGCCACACTCAGGCTGGCCCTCAGGGCCCACCAGTGTGATGGGCACAGGGGGAGGTCAGGGCATGGAAAAGCAGCTGGGGTGATGATCTTTGCCCTCACTGCTCACCAGCCTGAAGGGCAGTTACTCACTGGACATCGGGCGCTTGGGTTGTGTAGCAAGGTTAATGGTGGCTTCTCTCTCCGGCCCCCAGCCAGCACCGTTTCTAGCCTTCACCATGTAGCGATACGGCTGGGACTCCCGCAGGTTTTCTATCAGCACCATGCGCTTCTTTGGATCTTCAACCAGCACCTTCTTCATTGGCCCAATGGGTACTGCAGATATGGATACACATATTCCTCACAAGGTTCCAAGACAGAGAGCATCCCACAGCACCCATCTCTGAACGAAGAGACTCACTGAGGCTGGGTATCAGGACACAACCTGGCTGTGGGACAAGGTGCAGAGAACTATTTGGGCTGTTCACAGCCCAAACAACATGGTCTCGGGGGAAATTCCCAAACTGAACGCTGAAGTCTACGGTCTGCAGCTGATTTCCTGTTGCTCATGTGCCAGCTGCTGTCACTAAATAGCATCTTACAGCCATCATGACCTTAGGTCTAGACATATAGACTAAACTTTTAGGATGAGAAATGGCACAAAATGTTACAGAAGTGAACTTACTAAGCACTCAAGCCTTTACAAGATTAAATTCTTAGTGATATTTTTCTATACTCTCTTTACACTCTCTCTGACTCCGTTGTCTAGAAGCAACTTCTCCAAACCCCGGTTCTTGCAAGAAATGTGCTTGGAGCCATTCTGGTTCTGCTACAAAGCAGGACCAGCACAACCCACAGAAAATGCACTCCAGCCACTCAGGCTGGCTCAGCTGCCCCAACTGACCCACTCAGTAAATGAGCTCTTACTGTTGTCTTCATTAACGAGTCCATAGCTGACTTCATAAGCCGTGATCTCCCCGTTGGTTTCTGCAGGCTCAGCCCAGCTCAGCTGTGTCACGGTGGAGGACACGACGTTGAAGGCCAAGCGGCCAGGCTCACTGGGAACTAGAAAGGCAAGAGCTGTGTGTGTTACAAGAAGCCTGGGAGAGAGCTGGACAGTGATAGAGAAAGGGGAACAGACAAAGCTAACAAAAGCAGGTGTCAATCTCAGCTTCCAGAGGCTAACAAAGCTCAAGGCTTGGTCATGGGCAGAGCTCAGCAGCCCAGTTCCCTGGAGGGTGCAGGGCACAGCTCCTCCAACGCATGAAGTGGCTGCTTTGAGCCCCAAGTGCAGCCTAGCTAATACCCAGGCACTTTGTGCTGTAGAGGTAGCCACTCTACTGTCCACCAATTCTTATTTTCTACAGATGACTCCTTGGAAAAGCAAGTTAATCCTGAAGCCCATCACCAAAGCACTCAGGTGCCCGGACCTTCCAGGATTACAGTGAGCATCACAGCAGGAACCAGTCGGTGCCTGGTCCCAAGGCTGTCAGTAGCTCAGGGCTGGAGCTCTGTACCTCCAGCTGTGTGTGGGTTGCCAGCTTACTTCTGCATGGGGAAGAAACAGGGCGCAGAGCAACTCACCGTCCTCCAGCGTGCGGCAGTGGATGATGTCTGAGTAGAGCCCTTCACCCATGGCGTTGTAGGCACAGACTTGCATCTCATAATCACAGAAGGGGTAGAGGTTACTCAGCTCTGCCGATGGTGGTTTGACATCGAGGAGCCTAGCTTCCGACTCAGGATCCCCTTGGATCCAGTATTTCACCTGATGAGATAAGAGAAAATCATGATTCCTTCAGATCCTTACTGCACTGGCAAAGAATTCCCCATCTCTTTTACAGATGTGCTCTGGGGAAGGCCAAGTGCTGTGTGAGCCCTCAGAAATGGGGGCTAGGACACAGAGCATGTCATGCTACCTCCAGCTTTCACTGTCCAGTTTTCTGCCCCACACAGAGTAGACATGATGCTTCTGATGGCTTCCCTAGAGCTTTGCCTAGTTGTAAGTAATGGAAAGGGGGATGGACCCTCAAAAACCTTTGCCTGCAAATCACATATCCACCAAATGATCCTTGGGCAAGGAGGGTGACTAGGACTGGTGAACCTTCTGCTCTCAATTCAGACCTTCTCTCCCTGCCTCTTCAGCATAAGCAACTGTGTTTGTATGGTGTGAAGCACCCATAGGAAGGGGTACTTTCCTCCTCTGGGATCTGTTCACCCCTTACCTTGTATCCTTGAGGTTTTCCTGGAGGAGGAAACCAGCTGAAGCGGATTTTCCTGGAGCTGAGAGCCTGGGCATTGGGGTTGAGTGGGGCACTCAGGCGGCCTTTGGGAGTCTGGGGGACTTGACTTAGGCCAACCAGTGAGGGGACACCATCTACCACCTCTGCAGACACAAGGAGAAAAGGACACAGGTCAGCGCTGGTCCCACACACACAAGGAAAAGTGTCTCTTGCTCAGCACTGCCTGGTTGTTACTGTTTGAACATCTCAAAGCATTCCTGGGGAGCAGAGCTCCCTCATAGTGAAGAAAAACTGAGGCACATGAAGATGACATCCCCAAAATATATTGACTGGGTTGCACTGGGCAGCTATGGTAAGAGTACAAGATGGGCAGAACCTTCCCAAGTCACCCACTTGCTTCTTCCAGAAACTCATCAAGTCCATCCAAGAGCTACTGAGGATCCTTTTTCCCCCTAGGATGCACCCCAGGAAGCCCTTCTGATCGCTTCAGTGACAAATGGCCTCCTTTCTTTCCCCTCAATATTCATGGCGAGCACCATGGTAAATACTTTCACGTTATCATCCGACTTGATGACAAATCTTGCAGCTCCAAGGGTGCTTCTTGCACACTCTGTAGCTTGGCTGCCTGTACAGCCACAGGAGCTTCTGCATACATCCTCCAGCAATGCCTGGGTGTCCTCCAACTTTGTGCCTTTTAATTCAGGCCTCCAAGGTAAAGGATCAAAGAATCCAATCCATTTGCAATATAGTTCATCCTCTGTCTTCCCACCCACCGTCTATACACGTTGCTGCCTCTAGAGGGAGGCCCAGATCCACCTGTGATGGTTCATCTACAGGATGAACATCCTAATCCCCGTTTTGCAGGTGAGAAGCAGGGCTGGAGCTGCCCGCAACAGCCTGGCTTCACAGGCACAGATTTTTCCGGCTGCCCTGCCAGCCCCTACCTGGGTCAGCGATGGTCACTGTGGCCTGGGAGTACTGGCCAATCTTGGCACCGTTCTTTGGGTGGAGGAGGTCAATGACAAACTGCTTGAGCTGGCGGTTGTGCAAGAGGGTGTCTATCTCGGTCAGCTCCAGCAACGGGACCTGCACCTCCTTCCGGGTCTCCCCGGGCTGAAAGACCAGGTCACCCTCTGTGAAGACATAGTCCTGTTGCAGAAAGAACAGGAGTGTGATTCCAGTCCACAGCATCCGTAAGGTGGTTTCCCATGAGCTTCCTTCTCATTTGCCAGTGAACCTCCCCCTCACCTCCCAGTATCCTTGGTGGGAAGACTGAGGCCCAGTGAGTAATAGCAGGAGATGGAGAATTTCTGCCCTTGTACAAGACTCAAAATCTGCCATCTCCCCTCTCACCCTTGTCCCCTTTCTGAGCCTGATTCAGTGTTTTTTTGCAGAGCTCCTTACTCCCTCTGCACTCCTTACCCTGCCATCCTTGGCAGTGAGATCTCGGGTCCTGTATGTGACTTGGGATTTCCCATCATCTATGATCTCCCGAACAACAGGGATCTTTGCCACTTTGTCAAAACGGCTGTGAGTATAGGTTGGCTGCAAGAAGGTGATGAGGCTGCTGACTGTAAAAGGGCAAAAGAGAAGAAATATGAAAAGCAAATACTTGGAGCAAATACATTAAAAACAAAAAGATGTCTCTGAACAGCATTCACGTCACCCTTGATTGCAAATTTTTTGTAAAAGGCTGCTGTTGGGGCTGAACATTTTGCCAGTTCTACCCTTGCTGCCTGCTCAGAATAATCAGATGATCTGGAGGAGCTCAAGCACAGACTGTGCCTTCCTTGGAAGGCATGTGAGTGTCTGGACACTAGTCACACAAATGCCCTTGGTCTCATGCCACAGTTGAAGCCCTTCACCTTGTTCTTTGATGATGGTGATGTTGACCAGCCTGCGTCCAATCTCTGCGATGCCAATGGGGACATCAATAGCCTCCACCTGCAGCTGCTTCTCATCATCATCATCATCCCTGATGAAGAGTGGGACACGGACATCAACCAGCTCCACAGCCTCTTGGAACTCCACCATCCCATGAGCATCTGGGGGCAAAGGGTGATGATGAGAGGTGGCAGATGCCCCCTGCCCTGCTGGGAGGCAGCGGTGGGGTCTGCTCCCTACCTTGGTCCGAGGTCACGGTGTAGTAGCCTGGTGACACCTTCAGGTCATTGAAAGCCTCGTGGGAAACATGCTTTTCTGTCACTTTGATGATGTCCGACTTGGCCGACCGAGGGGCAGTGAGCACAGTGTCCACAATTGTGTGGTCCTGCCTGTCACGGGTGCAAAGAAAAAAATGAGCTAAATACTGAGGCCAGGTTTGCTTGTCTCACATTGCTGCTGTGCAGCAGCTCAGGGGGCTCGCAAGGGAACAGGACATTAAACCACCCTGCATGGCTGTGGGTGAAGACACCCCTCCCGGAGACACAGAAATGGCAAGAGAAGGGCCTGCAGGATCTACTTACCGTTTTCCAGAATTGGGCTGTACCCTGGGGAGAAAAACAAACCAGAGTGACTAAAACTTTTGAGGAGACAAAGCTGTGCGTGAATCACAGCCGTCCACAGGTCTGAGCCACGGCAGCTGCTCCGCAGGCTCCTCCGTGCGCCCGAAGCCAACATGTCCTGCAGAGCCCGTGGCCCCATCACATGTTCCCACATGTCTGTCTGCTCCCTTCAGTCCCAGGTTTCCCAATGAAATAAGAAACATGCCCGGAGGGGAGATCACATCCGCTCAGAGCCACGGGGAGTAGACAACACTCCCTGCAGAGTGCTGACGTCTCCAGACTCCTCCAGCCTGCACCAAGCACTCCAAATTCTGCACAGGGCTGAAATCTTTGACAACAGTGGGAATTTTGAGGACCTGCGACTGCCTGAAGGTGTCTCAGGCACATAGTGAGAGGCAGCAGAGATCATGTGCAAAAGGGAGCTAGTTCTGCTCTGCAGATCCCTGTGCAGGTGAAGGAACATCAGCGCTGCACTAGGCTCAGGTTTGTGCTGGGGAATGAGTCTCAGACCCCACTACCCTCCAGCATCACATCCAAATCCCAGCCCTCCCCTGCCTCCCCTGGGGTCTCCTCCCCGGTTACTCACCTGAACTTCGTCTGCTGGACCCTGTGGCAGCCAGGAATGTGCTTGTAGATATCATGCAGCTGCAAGGAACAAGAGGGACTTTTATAGCTGTAAGCCCCCAACCTAGCAGCTAGCCCCCATCCTGAAGCACACGGTCACAGTGGCCACCAAACGGGGGCCCTCCCCAAGCCCCTTCCTCTTACCCTTCCACACCCAGCAGAGGGGACCACTCCACTTCCCCTCTCCTGCAGCAGCCCCTGCGATGGAGCTGGCAGCCTCTAAACCCAGGGAGCTTGAGGACCAGGGTCTGGGAATGCTAACCCAGGCTGTGTGGCAGTGACGGGATACTCCAGAATGGCTGTATTGCCATCTCCCTAGGATGGGGCAAGAGGCTACACTGGAAACTGAAGCCAAACAGGAGCTCCAGAGCATGGACCCCTAAGCTGTGGTTCATTGCAAACCTTTTCAGCAACATGATGCTTTGATAATTCTTAGAGCCGTGATTTTAAGATTTGTGCCTTTCATGGGAAAATTCTGCTTTCGCTCAACAATAGAAAGAATCGAGTCTTCATTACAAGAACTTTTTAAATTTCCAGGGCAGAGGATTTTCATTTTCCCCAGTGGTAGGCAAAGGCAAACACCTCAGCACGGCTGTAACCTGTTCCCATCCCTCCCCGCGGGAGCGAACCCTGCCACGTGCTCAGGTCCTTACGTTGTCCTCTACTTCCTTACGCAGTTGCTCACACTCGCGGCTCTCTGGCTTCAGAAGGTTCTGTGTGAAGAGCCGGGTCAGCCTCAGGGACAGCCCATAGGGAACTGAGAAAAGAAATTCTGTGGTCAGACTCCTTCATTGTCTTGGTGAGAGAAATAACCTAACCAAAGACAGAAGCATGGAGACATCATGATGCTGAGTGTCCAAATTCTTTATCCCTGGCACCCAACCTCATCTAGCACCAGCAGAGAAAACCCTCTGAGACCTGAGTGCTTACTAGGAAGCTCTGTGCAAGATGCTCCCAGGAGCCTGTGAAGGATTCTGTGTCCAGTGATTGCTCTGGACTGATGAGGAGGTGCTATCTAGATTGGATCACCTGAGCTAAGGAGACCTCACACACAGGCTAGGAACATCTGCCACCAGGCCAGGCTGTCAGGAGCTCTCCAAGCTACGCACAGCTCCTGTGCAGGCCTGGACACATGAACATGCTCTTCAGCTACACCCTGGATGGAGCAAACCACCTTGCAAGGGGCTTGGAGGTGATGGTGGAGGAAGGAGGCAACAACAAAGGATTCCTGTTCCTTATGCAGCCCCCTACCCTGGCCCCGTTTCTCACATAAGGCACTTACTGAGCTCCTTGGGGTTGGTGGCGGCGAGGGAGGTGAAGCCCTGCTTGTGAACGTTGTTGTTGATCTTCCAGCGGACGGTGTCTCGGCCCTTGAGGGACCCGCTGCGCACCATGGGGGTGTCCAGGTGGTCGGAGGACATGAGGCTCTGGCGAAGCATGTAGTGGTCCTCCTTGAAGCCAACAGTGCGGCCTGCAGAGCAGTGGGTAGGTCAGAGACCAGATCAACTGGGACAACTGGAGCCACTCAACTTCCCACCAAACACAACACTGTCCTGCAGAATCATTCATGCTTCCACAAAGCCAAGGGTGTTGGGAGTTGGGAGAGTTGACCAGACAGTGGAAAGGGCATGGGGTGCTCACAAACAGGGAGAATTGATCACCCCAGCTGGACATTAGGGAAGACACAAGGTGGGCGAGCACTAGGGCAAGATTCCCTGCAGACATACACAGGGCAGGACAGGAGTTTAAAGGGCTGCTTGGCCAAGAGTTTCTGCCAGGGACTTTCCATTGATTAGTCTCCCCAAACCGCAGGAAATTACTGTGCCCAGGGAGGAGGAGAGAGGCTCATTTCAGTATGTCCTCCTGGCCAGGAGGGCAGGGAACCCCTCATGTCCCTTTCCCCCCAGTTCAAAGGGACGTTACCTCGTGCACAGCAGGGAAGCAGCGCCAGGCAAGCCTAGGAAACAAATGAGCAAACACATGGTCACTCAGGGGCCACGAACCAAAAAAACATGTTTCCAGCTAGGGACATTCACATCCTCAGCGTGGGAGCAGAGATCAGTGGTGCTCTGAAAGCAGATTATAACCAGACATCCCTTTAGTTGGGGAAATCAGATTGCAATCCTAAAAACAACAAGAGAGGTGTTGAATGCTAGTGGGACCCAGCTACTAATAGTTTGGCCATGCTGGAGGCTGGGTGAAATATGGAAATTTGTCACGTTTTGGCCTTTATCTGGTTCCTCCTGAAGCCTCTGGCAGAATTCCCACCAATTTCCATAGGGCTGTCCTATTCCCTACCAACATAGCATATTTTCCATTTGTCCTCACCAGCTTCTCTAGCTGGTCAGGGAATAAAAGCAGAAACACTTTTTTTCTTTTTTCTTTTTTTTTCTGGCATATTCTCCAAGCTATTCAGTAGGAGACAGACTTGAAGGTCAACTTTTCAAGAGCAAAGCCTCGATTTCAGTGCAGGCTCCTTCTTGGACTAGCCTTGCCCTCTCTGTGGTGCAGGGGAACAGCCAGGCCAAGGAACTTACCTTGCAGCAGGTGCAGAACTTCCAGCAGAGCAACAGCAGCAAGCCCAGGAGCAGGATCAGGAAAACAAGCAACGGAATGAGCCACAGAAAGCTTCCTGGAGGGCACTCTGCAACCAACAGCAAGGCACCCACCATGATTTAGGGGCATTAAAAACCCTGGGCTGCATGTGTAGGGTGCAAAAGGAGGGAATAGGGGAGGCCTGGAGAGATGGAAGATGCTGGATCATATAGCTCTTTTAGGGATGGAACAACCAAGTTTGGCCCAGGAATTTCTCGGTGCTCACATAGGAAAACTGCCCATGGAGTGGTCTCCTCCTACCTCTCTGCTCTTGTTCCTCTCTCAACACTTGTTCATCCCAAGGGGCTATTCTACACCTTGTGTCTTTCCCCACTGGTGCTAGCAGTGAAAGGGCACTGATCTTGAAAGGTCCTGAGCTCTTGGGGTACTATCCACCTCGTAGCATTCACATGAGATCCAAGTGTGACCTAGTACACGGCAAAGCCGGGAGAAGAGGTGCTGTGCGTGCACATCCCAGCTAACCCCAACTCCACACTGCACCTCCCCTCCTGCTGGGTCCCTGCTCACCTTTTTGCTTCTGCACCTGGACGGTGGTGTTGGGGAGCACGCTCGGATCTCCCTCCAGTGTGTAGTGGTATGTGCAGTCGTCCTCCTCGTCCTGGAATGAGCAGTGCTCGTTGGCTTCCTCTGCAAATGGAAAGACAAGGCAGAGGCTTCAAGGGGATCTGGAGCAGGAACCCAGCACTAAACATGAGGAACAGGCACACACACACGCACAGGACATCGCATACAGCCACACACAGCTCTGCATCTCCTGGTACCTTTCTTCAGCTCTTCCACCATCTGGACCTGGAGGTGGCAGCTGCTGCAGTTCCCTTTCATCTTCCCTGTTCCCCAGGCCTGGCACTGGACACAGTCCCGGATGCTCTCACACACAGCCTGGAAACCCTGCAGGGAAACCCAAGGTGAGACCATTAGAAAACAGACTGAAAGGCAGCTGAACGGCAGCAAAGCTGCATCCTTGTGACAGGATAAGGAGAGAAGGGATGAAGAGCAAGCAAGGAGCTAACACAGACACTGTGCACTGGCACAGACAAGGCAATGGCAACACTGGGGCAGATGGTCATGGCTTCATCCCTTGCAGCCGGGTGAGGATTTTCTCATTTATTGGATGAGGTGAGTAAGGGTCTGCTCAGACTGGGGGGCAGCAGCTCCTTGTCTGGCTCAGAAGCATCAGGAAGGGACTCAAGAGGAGCAGATCTGGATCTGCCACCCAGGGGAAGGACAGGAAGGGGCCATGCAGAGGAGAGTGCAGATCTCCTGCATCACTGCTTCCCTCCCACACAGCCCTGCAGGAATGAAGATGAAGCCAGGAGTGCAACTGGGAACCTAGATTCATGTCTGAATTTTGTTGTCTGACTTGCACACCTCCCAAATGCAAACAGTGCATGTGAGAAAGTCCATGCATGAGCCCATGCAGCACGGACCCAACAGCTCAAGGCGTTCGGATGGGAGAACCTGAGTGCTCACAATCCCTCCAAAATCTCTTACTCTGACACACTGTATTGAGGAGGTGATAGATTTTCTACAAAGGTTTTTTGCTGGTTTTTCAAAAATACGACCAGATTACCTTTGCTGTCTCCCGTCATGAGGTTAACATGTGTTTGTTCATGGGCCACAAAGGGACTTTTTCCAGTCTTGTGGAAAATCAGAAAGAGAAGCCAAGAGTCATGGCTTAAACCTTGGTTCTGATTGCTAGATGCCGTCCCTCCAAAAATCGCAGGTAAACACAAATTCACCTTGCACAGCTGCATGACTTTAGTGCTGCTGGTGAACTGGAGGGCAGAGCAAGCCCTGGGCTGCAGCACAGAGCCCTCCCTGGCCACGTGTGACAGAGGAGGGACAAAACCAGAAGGACCCTGGGGCTGAGTCTTACCAGGGAGTAGCTGATTTCGCACGTGGAGCTGGTGTACAGAGAAACTGTGTCACAGATGCACCTGCCACATTCACATCTCCCATGGTTATTGCAAAGGCCCTGGAGAGAAAAAGGGGCAGTCAACATCCGAGAGCAACCACAGACACCCGAGGGCACTGGGGATGAGCCCTGAATCTCAGCCCCTGGAGCACTTTGCTGCTGTCCCTCCTGGGGTGCTCTTCCCTCGGGTAAGGTTGGTCTTGGGGACAGGACTTACTCCTCTGCTGTCAATGCAGGTGTCGTTGCTGGTGGGACATTCGCAGCCGGGGCCCTCCCAGCCGCTCTCGCACACACACGCGCCCTTGGAGCAACGGCCGCGATCTGCAACGCAGAAGACATCACCAAGGGGCTCCTCGGCCCACGTCGCTGCCCCTGCCCTGTCCATGGGCTGCCCCAACTCGCTTAGTTTCAGGGCATTGCAAAGGGCTGCCCTGAACCCAGGACTCAAGCAGATTCCAGTGCTTTATCCCTGTATCCCGCTTCTCCTAGCATGGAGTCCCCGCAGCCCATTGCCAGCTGTGCAGTGGGACAGTGCCAGTCCATGCCACTTCTGCACTGTGGGACACTGTGACCTGCCAGTGCCTGGGGCAGGAGAGGGATTGTGGCAATGTGCTCAAGGCATGGAGCACCTCTCTCCTCAAAGCATCTCACAACAGGGACACTTGTCATCTACCTGATCGTGCCACAAACCTGTCACCATCACACTGCTCCAGCAGCCATCTCGGCTGCTTTGATGCCAGCCCACAGGGAGCTGTCAGAAGCAGGACCACTCTCAGGACCCATGTTCCCTCTCCTCGGAGGGGAGACACGGAGGGAACCCGGGGGCAGCTGCTCTCACCGTTGCAGAGGAAGCCGGAGGTGCGTGGGCACTGCAGGACATCGTACTGGCAGAACTCGCCATCGAAGCGCAGGCTCAGGTCTTCGGGGTAGCACTGGCACTTGCCGCAGAGACATTCGCCCCGGCCCGAGCACGGCTCCACGTCCCCAGGGCGGATGCAGGCCTCGTTGTTGAGGGACGAGGCTGGGGAGCAGTCGCACGCGTCCCCTCGCCTGATGGGGGAAAGAGATGCTGAGAGAGGCAGGAGCGGGGCACGAGGCCTGATGCCTCCGCGTAGGCAGGACGTCCTTGGCATGAGCATGTGTGCCCAGGGACACCAGGAACCACAGAATGGGTACAGCGCTAGACAAAGTCCTTACCAGCCCGCGTGACAGATGCACTGGCCACAGGCAAAGTCCCCATTGAAGTTGCACTTGGGCGAGCTTAACTCCTGTTGCTGTAAGGGAGGAGAGAAGAGATGGTGCAGCATGTCCCATGCCATCTTGGGAGTCAGAGCCAGGGGAAACCAACTCATTCCACTTGTGAGTGAGCCTGTCCACCAAGACAGCAGGCAGAGCTGCCTGCCACCACACAGGCAGATGCAATTCTGCAACTCCTGCAGCCTCAGAGCAGGATGAGGACCAGCAGCTGTGCACCCCGAGTGTGCCACTGACCACCCCAGCTTGCACATTCACAGCACCAAGATCCACAACACAAATCCTCCTGCTTTAAAAGCTCAGAGCTGCTGGCACCAAAATAGAGGAATGTGTCTGCCAGCAAGGAGCAAATTGGGACCAGCACATGCTGGCCAGTGCACACCCACTCCTGGCTAGACGGGAAAAGTACTGGGGTTCTCCTAACACGTAGCCTCCCATACCTGTTCACAGGGACACATGTCACAGATGACAGAGGCTTGGACTTGGAGGCTGTCACTCAAGGACGTGGGTTTCACGTGGATAACTCCCTGCCGGTCTTTCTCAGGAAGGCTGCAGACGTGTTGACTGCCTACATACTCAAGTGCCTTCACACGCATGTTGAACTTGCCCTGGAAAGGGAGGCACACGCAGGTGAGCCAAGTCTGCCCAAAGAGCCTGCTGCAGGTGGCTCTGCTTGGCTCACTGGCACGTGAGGGCGAGGGGATACGTGACACAGGCAGACAACAGCCACGCTGTCCCTTGCTCGCCTGCCCTGGCAAAACTGCAGCAGAGCTCTGCACGCTGCCCACACCTCCCATGGGGACTTACTACTTCGCCTCGGGTGATGTGGAAGGAGCCGGATTCTGTCTTTTCATACATGGTGGAGGTGAACTCCGTCTTCATGGCTTTGGGAACAAAGTCAGCCCGGATGTCCATCTTGGAGCGGATGCGCTATGTGGGCAGAAGGGAATCACTGCAGAGTAGCCTTGCAACCACCCCCTGCCCCAGGGGTCACGCAGGGCATCCTTTTCCACTTTCCTTGACAGGAGGATCCCCCCTCATCTGTCCTGGGAGCAAGACTGAGGCCCCGGAGAGCACCATTACCTCAAAGGCTGTGCGAAGCAGCTCCACAATGTTGGAAGAGTCCTCCTGGAGCACCCCAATCTCAGAGATGGGGAAATACTTGTGTAGCTTCTGCAAAGAGAGAGAAGCCTGCTAAGCCACAGCAGTAACAGGCCCAGAAGCTGAGCAGTAACTTGTGCTGAGCATCTACTGCGGCCACCAATGTTGAGGGGAGCCCTGGTTGCCCAGTTGTGAGGCTCTCTATACTTGAGTTTGAGGAAGTAGAGCAACCATTTAATATAACCTTATCTGCTCCAGCCTGGAAAGGGCTGGGATGAACAGGATTAGACAGCAAAGCAGGCCCAGAACCACCACTAAGGCTCCTCTACTTCCTCATAGCTGAGCTGCAGACAGAGGAAGAAGGGTCCTGAAAGAAGTTAAGCCCATGAGGCTCCCATACCACCAGGCTCTCCTCACCTCATAGTAGCTGTAGGAATGGTTTGTGACAGCAAAGATGGGGATAATGTTGTGCTGTCCCAACAGGCGCACCAAGGTTGGCACTGAAGGATAATCCTGCTTGGTGTCATATCTGTAGGTGCCATCAGGATCCAGGTGACACTGCTCATCATTCCTCCTCAGAATCCCCGCCAGGACGTTGGTGCCATCAGCTTCATAGTGGAAGGCAGATTCAGTGGAAAACACAAGCAGGTGAGTGCTGTCCTTCCTCCAGCCGATCTTATCCTGCAGCCAAGGAGGGGCAGAAGGGACCTTTTATCACCAAAGCATCACACAGAACCTGAACTCATCAGCTGACCACCACTAGGGTCTTTGGCAAAAAGAAGGGGCAAGGCACCCCCTTATCAGCTCCACCAGATGCATGTGGGCTTGGGAATCCAAGCTAGCAGGTGTCTGCTTCCACCATCTGTAACCCAGGGCATATGAGGTCTACCTGGCTAGGCAGTACAAGGTACATGTGTACAGAGTAGACAAGTCCTTGCTTTTGTGGACATGTTTGGAGCTGCACTCATCCATTTGTACGTCTCCCTTAGCCAACTGGACAAGCCCAAGTGGGGGTTTTTCCAAGGAGTGGAATTTCACCCCGGCAAGCACAAAGTGGGACAGTACAGAGGCAAGAGCATACAGGGTGTCTGATAACTAATTCCTGTTAGTTATCACTGTTAGATTCCTCCTGTTATATCAAATACCAGAAAGATAAACTACATGTCTGGTCTGAAATCTAGAAAGAACTGGGAATGCAGAACAACTCAGTACCAGGAGCAGAAGCAGCAAGTTGGAGAGGCAAAAACAGAGGGTGGCTGAACCCGAAATCCGGTCTCATGGACTGTGCCATTAGCTGCCCAATGCACTGCTTCTCTCTTCCCTCATTACCACATTAGCATTGCTCCATTTATTACCCAGAAGCAAGCGGCTCTATCCTCTAATGCACTCCCCGCATACACACACAGCTCCTCCTTTCCTGGCCACCATCACCTCGCAAACTGCTGTCTGCAGGATGGCATCAAAGCCTCCTTCGGGGGCATCCAGGTTGCCAGAGATGCGTTCTTTCCTGAGCTCCTTGCTGAAGTAATCAATGTTGCTGGTCAGGCGGATGACATTCTTGAAGGAGAAGGGGGAATCAGCATTGAGCCAGGGCTCACGCAGCCTAGAAGAGAAGAAAAGAGTGAGGCTTTTGCGTGGGGTAGGTCTCATTGCAAATGAATGTGTCAAATGTGTCACCCATCCAAGCAAGGCACTGCTTGTCCACATGCAGCTCTTAGCACTGGACTGCATGTGCGAAAGTTGGCTCCATCTCCCTTGGGATACCTAAGCCAGCTGGACACCCATCCAAACTCTCTGGGTCTTAGGGCGGGAGATCATTCTTGGAAAGATTGGTCAAGGGAAAACATCAAGTTAAAATGACAAATTAGCGGCCCTGTGAGGAGGGATAGGAGCTGTAAAAGGGATAAGGCCAGAGAGAAAGGTGAAGGAATGATGTGGACTGTGCTACAGCAAGCCCTGAGTGCAGAGCAAGGAGGCTGCAAAGCAGAGATTCACAACGAAGAGAGCAAGAGCTGGACAGAAGCTCTTGCACTGCAAACAGAGAAGATCAAGAGAGAAATAAAATGTAGCTGTGGTACCTGCCCTCCCCACTCTGCTCCCAACCCATCCTTGTGGCCCCATCAGCCTCACTCACTTCTCAGGTCTCATGTCTGTCTGAGGGGCTGAGACTTTGTCCACAAACTTGCCAAATCCAATGGTGTAATTGCTGGTCAGGGCTTGCAGGAACTTTGCTGGGAGAAGGAAGGAACAGACATGTGAACAAAGAGATTGTTTGCTCCAGGTAATCCTGCAAGATTGCTGCTCCAGGTAAGATTCCCTCTCTCTGCTACCTTCCTGGCTCATCAGGTCTTAGACAACACTTCCAAACTGTCAGTTTTTAAGCTTTTTGGAGGCTTATTTTAAGAGGGGTGGGTAGAAACCTACACCATCTAGCCTTTGGTGGTTCCTCTCCAAGACTGGTGCTTCTCCTAGAGTCCAAATCATCCCTACAGGCTCAAGCTGACAAAGCTACTGCTCGGAACAGCTCTGCAGGGCACCAGCGCCCTTACTGGGCTCAATAGGAGATAGGACACATGATGAGCCCAGCAAGACCAGAGGCCACATCCCATGTTGGGGGAGACCTGCACAAAGCAGCAATAAGATGGCACATAATTAACACAGATGCCTTTTGGCCCTTTGTGGGTTGCATACCTTTCTCTGGTGCTGGCAAAAATTCACGATCCCAGGCAAAAGAGAGTCACCTGCCTTCATAAGTGCAGGGTCTGGCTACCCCCTCTTCTCCCAGCCCTGGTCTCACCTAGCTTTTGTCCCATGCTTTTGAGGTTGTCCAGATCATCAGACATAGAGTAGGAGAAGTCCATGAGGATGTAGAGATCCACAGGGCTCTCCAGGGGCTGGAAGACATCCATGTCAAAGCTCATCTCCTCCCCAGCTCGCAGCCGCATCAACATGCTCTGGGGGGCCACCTCAGCCCTCCTGTGGGACTTGCTGATAGTGATATTCTGTGAAGAAAGAGAATTGTGAGGAGGATGAACTTCATCTCCTGCGCAAATACAACGAGAAGGTGGCAATGAGAAGGGGAAAACTTGGGAAAAGGAAAGCCAGGGGTGACTGTGCACCCTTCCTTCATGTACAGGTAGAGACTGGCTGCTGAGCCAGCCATCCCCAGGCCCTAGTCTGCCCAGTGGGTCATCTCCACCTCCTCCAGACCTTGGCATTTTGCATACATCTGTTTCATCTGAAAAGACATCCTAAATAGAATGACTAGGCCTGGCTGTGAATAGGTTCCCCCAGCCAGCAAAGAGAGGGGGTTGGTGTTGAGTAGGCCCTACATAAAAAGTGGCGTGTATTTTCCTTGCACAAGAGGCTGGAGGAGGGTGAAGGAATTGAAGGATGTTGAACAGAGCAGGACCCTCCAGAAGAAGTGGAACAACAAACCTCTACTTAGCACCTACCTGCAGAGTCCTCATCTCGCCTCTCATGTACACAATACTGGCCTCCCCACAGCCGTATCGCAGCAAATTCTCCCGAAAATCACAGCGAGTCTCTTTGAAACTCTGCAGCAACAGGGGAAGAATGTTACAAATACAGAAAGAAGCAAATCTTCACAAAAAGAGGCCAGGACAGTGGTCAGAAAGTTGGCTCCTCTTTCCAGATGGCTAGATCTGGTGAGCCTTTGCAAGCAGGAGAGGAGGAGGCAGGTGGGGATGAACCAGGCACAGAATAACCAATGCCCCACGGGCACCAGGGAAATGCTGCAGCTAGTGAGTCACTGGATCTTCTGGGGCAAGGCTCTCCCTCACGGCTTGGCACACACCGTCTCCAAGGAGTCCCAGATTTGTCAAGCAGGCATTTTCTGATAAATCCCTGTATTTCTGGCAGCTTGCCCTGAACTCCCCTTCCTCTCTGCTTGCCAGCACAGGCTGCTCAAGCCAAGGAAATCCATGTTTTTAGAGCTTTCAGTCTTGCAGAGAGCAGTTTGAGTCAACATCTGACTGCGCTCAAGTTCCTCTTCTGGATTTCAGCCGGGGTGGCAGGATCTCTCCATCTACAGGGTGCGAAACCAGCCTGGAAGCAGAGTCCCACACTCCCCTGTGAGCTCTCACCTCATCCGTGCAGAAGGAGCATTCCTTGTCCACGCGGATACACTCAGTGCAGCTCTTGGCCCGGGATAACACGCATCGGTTATCTAGGGGAAAAGCAGAAGCATGGGGAACTGGGTGGGTTGTGGAAGGGCACAAGAAGGGCAGATCCTGTTCCTGAGGAAGTCAGAGGGAATTCTACATGGGTGTTCTGTGGTAGATGGCTACAAATCAGCAGCTGGGTGTCCCAGCTGCCAGGGAGCTGACAGACAAGAGGGAAGGCACACGGCAGATCTAACGGAATTATCCATACAAAGACTTTGATCTCCAAGAGTCAAAGCAGGGTGGTATACATCCCCAGAGGGAGCAAGCAGAGATCATGAACAGACACATGAGGGCCACACTCACTTTTGTTCCTTTGGCAGAGGCCCGTGGTGCAGAGCAGGGACAGGAGGAGCAGCCCAGCATACACCCTTGGCAGCACATCCATCCTCTTCCTCCTGAAACACAACCATCAGCAACTTCATGGCTAGTGCAGCCGTGGTGGGGGAGCTGAGCCACCGTCCTCCTGCGGGAGCCAGGACTGGCACAGGAGGATGGGCTGCTCCCTGGTGGAGCCTGGCACTGTCCTCATGCACGAGCAATGTGTCCTTCCTATTCCTGGTAGCTTAAAGTGAAGCAGAGAAAAAAAAAAAACAAAGCAACTGTCTGCATCTCATCCCAAAAGCAAAACAGACTCCTCCCTTTGACTATTTCCTATCACACTAAGAATTTCCAGAATGATCAAACCAACAATATATAGAAGGAGAGGCTTTGGGAAATGCCTAATGGGGAGCTTTGTGCTGCTGAAAGAGCCTGGGATTCATGAGCCTGTTGCTCTTCTCCTCTGCTTCAATCGAGGTGACAGGACCTTTGCAGGCAGTTGGAGGCAAAACCCTAAATGGAGGGAGCTATTTCCTCTGCAAACACATTTCTATCCATCTATCAGCGGACTTGCAGTGTTGCCCCAATCTCTGCATTTGCACTTGGAAAACAGGAGAGAGAAAATCAGAACACGAGCTCTGGGGATGTCTGGCTGGAGGGGGTCGAGTTCCTGAGGTACACCAGGGAAATTGGATTATTCAAGGCAAAAAATCTGCTCTAAAGACAATTTTAAAGCATTTCTTTCATGCAAGGTACAAGCATAAAATGTAAGACAATGACACATCATCCAATAGCTTCTTACTCTGTCGACCCTGATGCTTCCAACCCTTGCCCTACCAGTCATCAACCTGGGTGTGTTTAACGGGGTGACTTCCCATGCAGGCTGTGGGATGCACAGAGCACTGCCCAGCTACAGGGAACACTGATACCACCTTGCACAAAAAACAAACACCTCCATATTTCTGAATTTCCTCTAGAAAGGAAATTTTCACTTCCACACAGGGAAAACGGCAGCACTTGGATTTTCACAGCAATGAAAGCAAAGCCGCTGAGGGTCAGGATGGGCTGGGGGCTGTATGAAGCCAGCTCAGTCCTTCCCGAGCGCACACATGTGCTCCGGCCTGTCCCCGCCGCGTCCCCGCCACCCTCCTCCCCCGGGCTCGGGGCTGGCACCGTTTCAGGCCGCTCCAGGCAGTCTCTGAGCCTGGGCCAGGCCCAGCCCGCGGAGTGGGCAGAGACGCGGCCGCCTTTTGTGGCGTCCAGCCCCACAACCCGCCCCAGCGCCCTCAGCTCTGCCAGGGCCCGGGCTGAGGAATTCCCCGGGTCTCGTAAACTGCCCAGGATGGGAGGGAAGGCCCAGAGCAGCAGCAGAACTGGTGAACTCTGCTCCTGAAGCTGGGAAGCTGAATGCACCTTTCCGGGCCTCACAGGGATCCACCTGGAAGCACCAGCTCAGCTGAGGAGCAGCAGCCGCTCGACATGGTGGCACTTTGCCAGAGGGGACATACATGTAGGGGGAGGCTCCGAGCCCCAGACCACATGCCTGGCACCTGAGCACAGTGCGTGGCAGGAATGGGGGAGACATCCAGGCCCACAGCTCGCCCCAGAGCTGCAGAGCTCAAACCTTGTGTTGGAGCCTGGGGCAGGGTGAGGAGGGCCCGCACAGCCTTGTCCCTCTGCCCCCTGCCCCTCAAAACCTTGGGCTCCTGACTCGTGTCCTCAGCTTGGGCTGGTGGACACCAAGGGGAACGTGAGCCAGCAATGTGTCCTCATCGTGAAGAGGGCCAACGGTAGCCTGGGGTTTACCACTGCTCAGCCCCAGGGATGCCACATCTGGACTGCAGCATCCAGTACAATAGGGACAGGGGCATATCGGAATACGTCCAATGAAGGACCACAAAGAAGACTAAGGCACTGGAGCATTGCTCCTGTGAGGAAAGGTGAAGACATCTGGAAATGTTTGATGGTGGTCAAACACGGGAACAAGCTGCCCAGAAAGGATGGAGTCTCCGTTCTTGAAGATAACCAAAACCCAACCAGACAGTCCTGGACAACCCGCTCTAGCGACCCTGGTGGAGCAGGGAGGCTGGACCAGGGGATCTCCAGAGGTCTCTGCCAGCGGCTCTTAGCCTGCCTTTTCACCAGGGTCTCCATGGGTCTTTCCACCTCCCCCAGATAGCTCCAGCCTTTAGCAAGTCTAGGGCACTTTGGTGCTCCAGAAGCACCTTGTCCAAGCTCCCAGGGAGTATCAGCCTCCTGCAGCTCTGCACCTCCCCGCTGTGTTTGGAGGGCAGGGACTGCGTCAGGACCACGTGCGATGGAGCCAGCACCACATGCACCAGGCACCGACGTGCCTCTAAACTTGTGAGACCTCAAAGAAACAACATTGCACCGAAGCAGAACCCACTTCATGCTGATCTCCAGCCAAAGCCCAGCCTGGAGGGACCAGAAGAGCAGCCATCTGCCTACGCACGTTTGTGGTGACCATGGTGCTTGCTGCTTGCCCAGGGAAGCCCCAGGCCCACAGCCTTGGCCCCGAGCAGCCGCGGGCTGAGCTGCAAGCATGTGGATCAAGGCAGGGTCCACAATCTCTCCCCTGGGCTACTTCCTCTGTGGCATACATGTGTAACACGCTGCAGAACTTAAAAACTAGCAAGACGCATCCCTACAGCAACATTGAACACTTACGCAAAAGTCAAAGTATTGTTTAAAGACTAAGCCGTGTCCAGCCTGGCTTTTGTTCTACTTCCCCTCCCCTTTTCTCCTGTTTTCCCTCCTTCCTCCCTATGCGGAGACTCGCGTACAAGAAAATATTGTGATTTGCTGTTTGCTGCAAGAAGCGGGATCTGGGCTCCAGGTACCGATGGAGCTGGGGACCCCAACCCACGGCTCCTGCTCCATCTGCCTGGGATGAAGCGCAGTGAGGGACATGTGGCCTCAGAGACGGACCGGAGACCCGCGGGGAGGTCCCAGCCGGGCAGGGGATTCCCGACACCCCCATCCGGCAGCCGCCTCCCGCAATCGCTGACAAATTTAAAGCGATTCAGTCTCGTTCTTCTGCCCTCCAGACCTGCGAAATGCCGAACCTGCTCTCCTGCCGAGAGCCAGCAGGAAAGTCGGGAGCTGCTGCGCGGCAGCCTGAATTCCCGCTACACCGAGGTCCCCCCTCTGGCACCGTCCCTGCCCCATTTCCGACATGTCCTCCCTTCCTCCGACCCACGACTCACTCCTTCCTTTTCTCCCCTCCATGTGAAATGGTTCTTCCCCTCTCCTGCACCTAATTCACACCCATTGGCTCTCTTACATGGATCCCACCAGGCGCCTGCTCTCCTCTATCCCACCTTGTGCTTTCTTGCATTTCAGAGGCGCTAGCTGGCAAACACAGAGTTATATTTGCAGTTCAGGAAAACCACAGCCCTTTCGAGCCCGGGTCTCATTTAGCCCTTTTCTCTCCGGATTCAACCCTCCTTCTTCGCTCCAAGCAGCTCCCGCCCTGCGCGGAGGTTGCGCTCAGAGCCCCATTTTGCAAAACGGCTTTTGTGCTTCAAGGGGCCAGACCCACCTGCAGCTCTGAAGGCTCCAGCTGCTTTAAAAGCAAAAATCAAACACTTTCCAAGGCACAAGCAACTTTCCCCCGGGGAGCAGGGGGTGCAGGAGGAGCAAAGCGAAGCTTTTTAATCCCCAACAAGTTGTCCCCTAAAACTCCTGCCGCGTCGTGGCTGCTGAGTACCCCCTGTATACGCATCCCCTATACATGCATTACAGGCACGGTCCCCCCCAGCCTGTTTGGTTGGACAAAGCAACTGCAAAAAAAAAAAAGAAAAAAAAAAAGAAAAAGAAAAAAGAATTCTGCACAGCTCTGCAAAACAGAACTGTTCAACCCCAGCGCTGCCAATCCGGAGCGGTGAACAGTAGCTCAAGCGAGAGCGGAGAGAAGAGCCCGCGTGCCCGCTGCCGAGCCCCCCGCACCGCCAAGCGCAGGTCAATTAATTGCACAAACCTCATTAGCACTGCGGTGACTCAGTGTCCAAAGCCTCTGCCACAGCCAAATGACCGTCACCCACTCGGCCAGCCGAGAAATTCTGCCGAAGGCGCAAAGGGAATTCACCGCTTCACTGCCACTAGCTGATCTCCAGGCTTGGCCTTTCTTTTGCTTTTTTAACTCTCTCTCCTTCTCTCCTCCTCTCTTGTTTCTGTCCCTTTCTCTGTTTTCCGGCTAAATGTCACCCGCGGGGCCTGCGGGGAGGGCCGGCAGCCCCGGCG